CAGTCATATCAAAATCAATAAATAACCTATTAAGGTGGGCGCCACTTGTTACGTTTCAATTTAGTTGAAGTAAAACAACAAATAAGAGTAAAGAATAATGGGAATTTATTTATACACTCAGGGTCGGAGGTCGGTTAATATGATTGATTTTGATCTAATTGCCCTCACAACGATACTCTCCTGCGCTCTGTTTAGTCTGCCTCGGTTCAGTAGGAAGGTACTGCCGTGCATCCAATATTAAATCTTGACAGCTGCCGTTCAGTGAGCTCAGATGTCTCCCGTCCCTTGTTCACAAAACCAGTCCTTAGGGAGTTCCTGAAGATGTATACATTCTAAGCATTAGTATGAGTATATAATAGAATTATTTGTATACCGCTAGTAGCAACAGTTATGCAACTATGCAGAGCAGAGCTAATACGAAGCTTTACAAATACAGGAAAAGCATGTAATTCAAGTTCCCTGGGATGATATGATATGCAGCAAGATTTAAGTTAAAAGAAAGCAGCAACTTGAGTTAACTGATGGCAGATAAAATTATATTTTGTTTTAAATAAATTTTCTTACTTAAAATTAAAACAATAGGCAACCGTTTAATTAAATAAGCGATTTAAGCAGCAGACAATACGAGAAATAGTCACTGTGAATCAGTGACTGGTTTTATCAAACAGTTGATCCTGAGTCCGGAGTTCGAATACCCTAAATTAGACTATATTCTTCTAGCGTGCACATATAATCGTGTATAATACTATACTACTAAGCGTTAATAATATCATATATTTATTTATTGATTAAATATTTATTTTACTTTACTTTATAGGTTATTGTGTATATGTTATTTAATTTACCTTACATTTATCTTATATATCCTTTTTTATTATTTATTTAAGTCTCAACTAGATGAGAACACTACAAAATGTCCCTAAATAATAATAGAAACTTGAATTACTAGTAATTTAGTAGATGGATGGCAATACGGGAGATTATTTTACAAACTATACATTTACAACGAAAAGCTTACATTACATTACAGCACTCTAAATATTGCTAATGTATTACTATATAATACATATTACAATTAAGGAAAATAATGCTAACGAAATGCCAAGGAGTAAGCGTCTATTTCTACATACCCTTAAAATATAAAAAAAAAAATAATTTGCACAACTTACCCAGTACGGGAATCACCTTAAAAACGGTTAAGATTTATATTTTTTACAATAAAATATTTAGAAGAAGTGACTATAAGTACACAAGACTGTGTTAAAGATTTGAGGATAAAATAAAACAACGACGACGACGTGACACGTCGGTGTCGCTCGCAGCTATTCTTGTACATACAACTTTATAATTTGTGGCAGCTATGACCTCTGGCTATAACGTTCTCATGCCCGGATCTCGATTCTCGTTTAGCAGTGTGCTTGTCTCCTACCCCTCGCCCTTCGCCCGCGTACACACCGATCGGACAAAACATGAAAACGACGGCGCGCCAATATTTTAGTGATAAATTTTTTATAATTTACAAAATATAAAAATTTTACATGTTACATGAAAAATATACCTAAATGAAATGTAACCAAGGTTAGAGTCATGCGTTTTTATTCATCGTGTAGGTATGTTTATTACTCGATGTATTCAGTTATGTACCTATTCAGATCAGTTCAGTACTAAGTTACTTAAAAAAAATTAGGTATGAAACAGCTTACCGCACTAAATCCTCCGTGATGACGTGCTCAATGAAACCAGGCACACGTTGTTGCTGGTCAATAACCAATGGCAGAAAACTCGCCGGCGGTCGTGATCGCCGGGAACTAAAGCTTGCACTTTGTACACTTTGTATGAGCGCATTCAGTTACACTTTAACACTTTGTGAACTGTACAGTATGACACACTTATTCCATCCCGATGCCTTAACAATTTAGCGATATTTGGTGTACCTAGGTTCGGATTACGGTGAACGACATCTAAAATGCGCTCCTCTGAGTGAACAGCCACTTGACTTCCACCTCCTGCCTCTACCAGAGCAATGGGCCGATTTTCCAACACTCGCTGAAATGCTGCTGTTATCAGACAAGAGTCAGTTGGATGTCGAGCGGTCGTGAATTTCTCTCGGTAAATTCGCAATACATGCGAAGCATTCCCGCGAGCTTTTCTAAGGCACATTAACATGTTGCCGTATTCACGAGCACTATAAACGTACGCGTTAGGCATTATAAAAACAAAACAAGAAACTTAAAATGTAACAACAAGAATAATATCATTAAGTGATAAATAACCAGTAATAAGGACAATAATTTAATAAACAAAACAATTGAACTGTCTCTTGTGACAGTCAACACGGAACTATCTCAAAAATTGAAATTATTAATCAAACACGCGTTATGTATGTTAAGACATCGCCAACGTTTATTTAATTTATGTTTTATCCCTACGACTAGTCTTCATATGGAATTTAAAACTTATTGTTGTAATTTTTAATACAATTACACAAATAATTGTACCCTGACGCAACAAGCAGTTCTTTACAAAAAAAATATTGAAATTAATAAACGTACCTAATTGGGTAATAAAAAAAAATAAAAATTAAAAATAGAAATGAAATGGTACTGAATAATTTAATAGTTAAAATCTATTGCAATCATGATCGAAAGCTAAATAATCTATTTTTTTGTATAGGATCGGGTGACAAACGAGCACACAGTCCACCTGATGGTAAGTAGTTACTGTGACCCATAGACATCTACATCTATCCTCAATATAGACTCAAGATGCAGATGCGTTGTCACCCGTGAGGACTAAGATGGAATGCCTCTTTGCCAGTAAGAAGGGTCACCGGTTCTCTACACTCACCATACGAAACACAGCAGCGTTAAGCTGCTATTTTACGCTGGTTTTCTGTGAGAGCGTGGTCCTTCCCCGTTCGAGCCGACCTATTCGTGCTACAACCATAATATAGCTGCAGCATGGCTCTACCACGTAAGATCTATCAGAATTAATGTAAAAAATAATACTTTTACGTGATTTTAATTGACTTTCCGTATTTAACCCGACCAATACCTTAAATTTAAAAAGAGGTACGTCAAAATGATTAAATATTACTTGCAAGTTTTATAGTAATTGACGCCTCTAATTCTTATGTCGCCGGCAAACGAAATTTCGGTGCAACACGAATTCCCTAATTTAAGGACAAGACTTCAACAGATTCCCCACAAATTCCCCTCAATTTTATTTTAAGAAATGAATCAATTTTCAATTAATTTTATAAGATTTACTTTTTAACTAACATTTTTTTTTAAATTAAATAATAAAGAAATGAAAAGCATTAAATGATACACAAAAGTTGCCGAAACAAATCCGAAAATTAAATGTGGTGCAATGAAGATAATTAACAAAAGGGAGTCATTGGATATTTATGAGTATCGTAACAAAATGTTAAGATAAGTATTTAGATTTCTTGAAAAAAGGTTCTGACTTTGCCCTGGCTATCGATTTAAAAAATCCCCGTATTTTCCGCGTAAAATAAAATAAATAAATTCCCCAACCAACTTTGAATTCCCCGCAATTATGGGAATAAATTCCACAGCGTGAGGCGACACAAGTTGGCCGGGCGGCGGTAGCGCATGTGTGGAAGGGAAGGGTAGAGTGAGTAGACATTGTTTCGCACCGAGCAAGATACATAAGAGTTCGGCGTCCCTGAGAATATTGAACTTATTATCAGCTGATTTTATAATTTATTTATTTTAAATTTCACTGCTGGTTTAATGTTTATGTATTTTCATGACTTTTTTAATGAAATTATCGTTTTATTTAGCTGTACCAACATGATGGAACGTGAATAAAGCTAATAAAACGTAACGAAAAGATAATTTTTTCCCCTCAGGATCGATTTTATTTCTCACTTATGATCAAAGGTATAGTTAGTTTTATAGTCTGTCTTCATTTTTGGGAGCATTTCACAAACACAACTTCAAAAAATATTACCCCAAAAATTTTCACATTTACTTGAAACAACCCTTAAAAACATTTAAGTTTTGTAATAGTCTTTATTTGTAAGTTTTTTATTATTTCAAATAAATTTCGTTTTCTTCTGATTTCGGCTTTTTAATATCATACATTTGCATATTTAACATTTTAGTGGATGGATTAAATGTTATGCAAGATCCACCATTTCGTTGTAATGTTAATCGAACCATCATCATACTTTGTAGCATTTCGATAGATAAACTATTTTGCAACTTATGTTGACAACGTTGTAGATAAAAAAACGCACGTTTGTTATTTGCATTCGAAATTGGAACCGTGATAAATGCCAGTCCAAATTTTGAGATATTTTCTATACGTTATAGATTTCATAATAAAAATTAGCAGAAGTAGAAGTATTTGATCATGTTTTATTTACTCAATACTTTACATAATTGGTGCCATTCAGAATTGATGTCATTTTTATTGCCGTAGATATAAGTTCGCTGAATGTGATTTTAGGTTACCCAGAGCCTACAATTACCAAAAAGTCCCTAAAAATATAAAAGCCTTTAAAATAACCCACCCCACTTATTTTCCTCCTAAATTTGGGGGAAACCCCCTAAGTTGGGAACCCTGATTGACCGATGGTTAGATCTTGCTTATAATATAATGTTAGATCAGATTTAGTGTTGATATACCTCGTCATCGGTTGAAATAAGATTTTGAGTAGGCTGTATAGTCATAAATCCCCGTGCTTTTGAGAAAGTAAAAAGCATTGTGATCTATTGAATGAACTGTCAAACGTAGGACAGTTATTATTATACTCTTTGGTCAAACGTCATGTCAATGTCAAATTGTCAATGTTAATTTTTCTCTGCGAGTGCGATCTTTGATGTAAAATAGCTTGCTACATATTTATTTATGTCTATGATGTAAAAATATTTTTAAAAGAATGGGAGGTTGTTTAGTGGTTAAATACATATTTCATGCCTTATTCGGCATGACCTATAGTTAATTATAAAATAAAGAATGTTGTAAAAATGTCTTCTCCATCTGCTGTGGTGTGCCGTGAGATATTCGATGAAAATAGTCAACCGTCGGCCGATGGTTTGTGTTCTATAGTTCAATAATGTGTCCAATATTTTTATTGATATTTTTTGTTACCTTAGCACGAAAGTATTAGTTTTTTTTTATAGAATGTTTTGGAAGAAGGTAAGATAATATATCATCCTTCAATGTTTTACTATTGATTTAATTTTGTTTTTTCAAAATAAACCGTTGTTCAGTGTTTTTTGAAAATAATTAATATGTAAAATAATATGAAAATGCAATTGCTATACCTATTTCAACTGCTCTGTATATGTTTCAGAAACCAATTTTTTGGTAACATGCAGTGTAATAAATTGCTTACTTACTTAAAAATTTCAAAATGACTTCCTTCACTTAATTGCGCTTATCAGGTCTGAATAATTTGTTTGTTTGCTTTTAAACTAAAATATATTATTTTCATAATATTGGTTGAAATATGATTATAATTTATAAAATTTTTGGGTTTGTATTTTAAGCAAACTGAATTTCACTTTTTAACTGCATGTTAATATATAAAACACAGATATATTATTATACAAAATAGAAGGTTAACACTATTTTACCTTAACACACACTCGACACACTATTTAAAGGAACACTTGAAGTCACACTATAATCACAGATTATTCAGTCAGCTATTATTCTGACAGCTTATCATTAAATAATTGTTAGCAAAATTGAAAAATTCTTTGGCAACAATCTCTTTATTGGCAGTATGAATACTAACAAACAACATAATTTGTCTGAGTGATATATTAATAATGTGTGAATAATCACATATATTATATATATATATATATATATATATATATATATATATAATCTGGTACATACGCATTCGGGTGGGGGGGGGGTGAGATGGCCTTGGTTCCCTAAAAAAATTCTATCACAAACGGTTTGCGCTCTATGCCATGTTTTATAAAATTCCGAAAATTCGTATTTATGCTCACATTTGTGGTCATCACGTCTACAGTTTAATGCCTAGATCGGATTTTTTTCATCAATTTCATCAAACAATGGAGAATCTGTCGATCCTTTTTACTCACATTAATCCTAAGCACCGTTTGTCTCGCTCACACAGCTTGGAGTTCGTCCAAACAAGGTGAGCAGGTAGTAATCTAAAATTTCAAAGACGACAGATGTACTTTTACCTAATAAAGCCATGCAATGTTAAAAAACTGTCTGCCAATAATAGTATGCTAGAATCCTCATGATGTAGGCAAACTTTTTAAGTGGTTGGTCACACAAATTCCATACGTTTTTTTTTCACCACAGGTGCTCAAACTTAGCAGATAAATAAAGTAAAAAATTAAAACTTATGTTTAGTGCCGTCTTGTAAAATACTACCCCTAGTACTTGAAAACTTTTAAGGGTAAAAAGCCATGCTGCAGCTATATTAGTAGTATAGTTGTAGCACGAATGGGTCGGCTCGACCGGAGAAGGACCACGCTCTCACAGAAAACCAGCGTAAAATAGCAGCTTAACGCTGCTGTGTTTCGTATGGTGAGTGTAGAGAACCGGAGACCCTTTTTACTGGCAAAGAGGTATTCCATCTTAGTCCTCACGGGTGACAACGCATCTGCATCTTAAGTCTTTATTGAGGATAGATGTAGATGTTTATGGGTCACAGTAACCACTTACCATCAGGTGGACTGTCTGCTCGTTTGTCACCCTATCCTATATAAAAAAAAAATATAAATAAATTTTAGCCTTTTGCACTCCTTATCTATATAAATTTTAACACTGTCAAATTTTACATGCATGCAATATGCTTATAAAGGGGTAAAAAGTTATCCCTTCATATATTAATATATTATATATATATCTTCCAAGATTAAAGAAGCTATCGAATTGTGGTTGGCCTGCACATTGCCTAATCACTCAAATATTTTGGCACAAAGACAGCTTAAAAACTACTATCTCATTGTGGACTGAGGATATAAAAGCAGACATCAAGTAATTTGGAGCTGTTGTCCGAAATTACCAGTTCTCAATAAAAAGTGTGATATATATTTTTTACACTTCAGAATCGTCATAATCAGCCTGCTGTAGTCCACTGCTCGGCATAGGCCTCTTTTAAGGCACACCACTTAGCGCACTCTTTAGCTTTACCCATTCAGTTGCTACCAGTCATCTTCCACAGATCTTCACTTCATCTAGGAATCGGGTGATTTAATAATAATGGGTAGTTCAAAAATATATACTAAATTGTATGGAAAAAAAATTACTATATGATCTCAAATTTTATTTTTTGTGTCAGAAATATCAGAATATGCACAGCAGTTGGGTATTGATCCTGAGAGTGAGAGCCATCTCTTGCCCTTGGCGCGGGAGGGTCTTATGCAAGCACTTCCACCACCATGGAAGGCATAGTAAGTTACCAAGAGAAGATTGAGTAATTCCAAATCTGTGTTTCGCTGTTTAGTGGTGGCCTAAGAGAATTGACTACCCCATATAATCTTGTTGGTCTTGTAAGATTACAGAGGGAATTAAACAAGAGAATGGGCAGCAGCATCTTCCTTTATTGTTCCTTAATAATGTAATATAGATACCGCTGCCCACCCACCTGCGTAGCGTGGTAACTATGCCAAATATATGATGTCAATCTGTGGGTAGGCATATCCTCAGAAATGGACTTTTGATAGGCTGTAAGGAATGATGAATAAGACGTTTCAACAACAAAATCCCATTATACCGTTTTTATTCTTTACGTTGGGATGCCTTTTAAAAACTGTATTTGGTTAACACTCAGAACAATTCTTTGTTTATCCTGTGACCTGTACTGTCACATTTGAACTACGCCAGTATATTCTAAGTTTATGATTCGGATCCATAGTCATTGTGTTATCGAGCCTTCAGTATTATTTTGTAATATTATCTGTCCCTGGGATATATTAATATTTATAATATTGAATGTCATTATGATCCACAAATTTTACTCAAATAAACGCTTTATTCACATTCATTAAACGCATTCATTCCTAGAATAGAATCTTTTGAATCTCATGAAAATAATTTTTAGAGTTCTTTTGTCCGACTCAATTAAAAAAAATTATGTTCTGTCCATTTCTAAAAAGTGTGTCTCAGAATCATCACTTCGAAAGTTTTTACTCAAAATTAGGTAATTATTTGACTATATTCTTTTTATATTGATATTAATAGCCCAATGAAATAGCAGCTTTAATAACCCAATGATGGATACATGTATAGGACCTATTTGTCATAATCATGAAGCTCGGCAGGTAGTTTGGCACTTTTAGAACAAGTTGATTGGTATTACTCCTCGTTACTAGTCTGTGTATTTTACATCTGCTATATATGAGACCATATAGTACCATTTAATATGGAATGTTGGCTGTAATTTTTTTTTCAAATATAAAAAGCTACCAACCTCTAGGTAATAAATATAAAGATACTGCCTATTTATGTCCCACTCTTGGGCATAGAGTTGCAGTATGGTCATGGTAGATATGATTTTTCTGTTATGTCTTGTCTATGTTTGTGCTGTTTGCAGCTCTTGAGCTGTTCATCGGCTGCAGTAGTCACCTACCATCAGATGGACATTTGACCTTGAATTTTGTTAAAAAATACCATATGCCTATGTATATGGTATTTTATGAAAAATATGACTACAGTACTATTAAAATGTTATGTGAAACATTATGCAGTGATTTTTAAAAAATAAACAATCTTGTATGTCATTTAATATCTAAGCAGCTTAATTTCGTTTGTTTCTATCAGTTTTGATGAGAAACTCCAAACCCACTACTACTACAATGAGGAGACGAAAAAGACACAATGGGAGCATCCCCTCGACAACGTCTATAGAGAGCTGGTGAAGAGGGCACGGGATGCATCTACGCATGATGACACTTGTGCCTCTGTGCAGGTGAGTTCAGGTTTATGTTAACCCAGGATGGCTCAGATAGTAGATATTTTTTAGACATATTTTTACATGGTAGAACCATGCTAAAGCTATATTACTGGTATAGTTGTAGCACGAATGGGTCGACTCGACTGGGGAAGGACTACGCGCTCACAGAATACCAGTACAAAATAGCAGTTTTATGCTGCTGTGTTTGTTTGTGAGTGTAGAGAACCGGAGACCATTTTTACTGGATCAAGCATCTGCATTTTGATTCGTAATCGAGGATAAATGTAGATGTCTATGTCTGTGTGCTTGTTTGTCACCCTTATCCTATAAAAAAACCGGTCAAGTGCGAGTCCGACTCGCCCACCGAGGGTTCCGAACAAATCCGTAGGTATATAAGTTTAAAAGTATTTAAAATATTTTTATTATATGATGTAACAAAAAATTTATGTTTTTCGCAATTTTTCCTTTATCTGTGCTATAAAACGTTGCTTCGTAGCAAATTTTAAGATTCTGAGTTCACCAGAAGTACCCTGTAGGTTTTGATTCCCTTTCGAACGTCGAAAATTTGCGGCATAAACGGCTGTATCTTTTGATTGCCTTGGCTTAGAAGTTTAATTTTTTCACAGCACCAAGGGACAGTAGACTTGAGTATTTGATATGAATTTCAGCTTGATACCTCCACTCGTTCCTGAGAAAAAGGATCTTGACAGGCAGACAGACGGACAACAAAGTGATCCTATAAGGGTTCCGTTTTTTTTCCTTTTAGGGCACGGAACCCTAAAAATAGCAGATCTTATTCACATTTTTAGGGTTCCGTATCCAAATGGCAAAAAACGGAACCCTTATGGATTCGTCATGTCTGTCTGTCTGTCCGTCCGTATGTCACAGCCATTTTTTCCGAAACTATAAGAACTGTGCAGTTGAAACTTGGTAAGTAGATGTATTCTGTGAACCGGATTAAGATTTTCACACAAAAATAGAAAAAAAAAAACAATAAATATTGGGGGTTCCCCATACTTAGAACTGAAACTCAAAAACTTTTTTTCCATCAAACCCATACATGTGGGGTATCTATGAATAGGTCTTCAAAAATTATATTGAACCTCAATATCAATATCACCCTTATATCAATTTCTTTCTTAACTGAATAGCTTGCGCGAGAGACACTTCTAAAGTGGTAAAATGTGTCCCCCCCCGGTAACTTCTAAAATAAGAGAATGATAAAACTAAAAAAAATATATGATATACATTACCATGTAAACTTCCACCGAAAATTAGTTTGAACGAGATCTAGTAAGTGTTTTTTTATTAAACGTCATAAATCGTAAATTATGTTACTTGCTGCTACGGAACCCTTCATGGGCGAGTCCGACTCGCGCTTGGCCGCTTATTTAGCTTAGCATCTTTGACTGTTTCACCACTTACCATTGGGTGGGATAGTAGTCAAGAACCGGTTTATATCAGTTCAAAAATATTTTAAATTAACAGATGTTATGTTTAGTTTTGTTTTTAAATACGGGAAGGAGATCGAGAATAAGGATACTATATTATTATTACTGGATGTAATAATGTCTTGAATTGAATACTCCATAGATAACATTGAGTGATGAATTTTAATATTTGTTCTAGGAACTTCCAACTTCCGAGGACCATACAAAAAATCTAGAACGCGTCGAAACTAAAGTCGAAAGCGATGATGATGAACTGTCAACGGACAGTGAAAACCACCCTTCGGACGTTAAGGACGCTACAAACGCGACACAACGACGCTTAACCCCTCTCGGTCGACCACCACTAGCCCCACTCTCAAGACTTGATAAGAAACTGAGCGATTTACGAATTTCGCCATTAAGACGAAGCGTCGACAGTCCTATTTCGCCTAAACCGGTCCTTGTAAGAAATACTTCTGACAGAGATCTGTTGTGTCGACCAACTTTTGAAAGGCCAAAAGTGCTATTTAAACAACAATCAGAAATAATTGACCTTAAAATGCATGTACTGAACAGTCCTGAAGATGAAAATTTCAGCCCACTTCTGTCGTCTGCTAAGATTGATAAAGGATTGCCATTTTCAGGTAACATGTGTTTTAATTATTTTTTCAATTTAAAGGTTTTGAATGCTATAATTTTTATACAATGACAAAATGCCATCTATTGGTCTTTTAGTTTTTTTTTTGTAGAGTGGGCAAACGAGCAATGAGGCTCACATGATGGTAAGTGACTTTCGCCGGTAAAAAAAGCAGGCTATCGGTCCGGAAAAATCTCTGGTGGTAGTAGATTCCACAAGGAAGTTGTGTGAGGAAGAAAACTTCTTCTAAATCGCACAGTGGCGGACCGCCAATCATCGTGCCTCAATCAGAATCAATCAGAGTGCCTCGAAAAATATTAAGATATTCAACAAAATACACCTATTTTACAGAACATTTTCAAACTTAGAGTTTTTGTTAGTATTACCACATTGACCACATTATCAACAAAGCCTTGTAACTTTACGGTTTTGTCATGAAAACTTGTAAGCCATTTAAAAAATCTGGCACTTATCTACTGCTTTATAAATCTCTTATAAGACCTCAATTGGAATATGCCACATAAGTTTGGAATCCCTTTTACCAAAGGTATCGTGATTTACTAGAATCGGTACAAAGTAAATAATTACGCTCTGTAATCTATAAATTTTACCGTTCTTGGTCCTCTTATGATAACCTCTTGCATAAGTATTCTTTAACAACTTTAGCGATTACTGCTTGATTGTATTTTTCTTTACAAAATTTGTCGTAACTTTTTCGATTGTCCTCAATTTGTCAATTGTATATATACCTTCGTGTACCAAGTCGCTCTCAAAGAATACAAAACACTCGCGTGCATCGTTTGTTTTTCATTAATCTGTGTAAAACACATGTGGGCAAGCGTGCGCCTTTGCGTCGCATAATGGAACTGTATGACAACAGCTTCTCCGATGTAGACTTATTTACCATGTCACTACCTCAATTTGGGAAAGCTATAAAGCTTGTATTGAATAACTTGTAATTTTTCTTTTTCTTTTCTTCTAATGTTATAACTTTAATCAGAATTGTTTTATTCTTTTCAAGTAATACATGTAACATTCATGATTTAGCTATTACTGGCTAGGTATGCATTTTCGCCTCTTGTTTTATTTTTGTGTTATATGTGCCTTTTTTAGCTTTTTAATTACTACGGTGTTTTTGTGGATAACGGTGTTCGTTGTGTCATTAGCTAATCTGTTTATATAAGATTTGAATTTTGTAATTTTTATTATACAACTGTTTGTTGTCCTTAATAAAACAAAAAAAAATAGCCGATTACTATGTAACACATGACTCTAAATTAATATATAAATAACTTTCATGGAATTAACTCTCGACCGGGGAATCGAACCCCGAACTTTCGTTCGAAATTATATTGAATCTATTTACTTTCAACATCTCTTTATTCGAAGTGCCTTATATAATTTAATAGCAATAACTTCAAAACACAAAATTATTTATTTTTAAAGAAATGAAAAATGATAATCTATTTTTTAAGCGCGTAGCCAACAAGTAGTAACAGATTTGTTTCTCACTAATCTAATCTTATTTATTTTAAGGCAAAGGCAACATGTTTTTAAAGTTCTCGAAGTCAGATTTACCAAGTCCAGACACGGAAAAATCACTACCGGCAGACTCTGTGACAAAGAGCGATCCGCCTAAAGGGATACTACGAGAAAAATCCGATTCTTTCCAGAGGAAAAATGAGAGTGCAATCTTGGGAAGACCCAAGCAAACTGCTAGCTTTGATGAAGATAAGAAAAGTGTCAGGTGGGATTAACATAAGGAAATCATATTTTCGTTTTTACACCTCAGAACAATAGACTGTCAGTCACTGCTAAATATGCGTAGTTGGCTCGCCGCTGTCAAAGAAGTTAGCTCTCTATCAAACATTCTATTTCGGCTGTGGTATATCAAAACCCAATAAATGGCATTATAAAAAAATGTTTTCATTTAAAATCTTACTTACATAGTAATTCTCTACAGAAAATGAAACCACTTTCAATAAATTTATAATAACAGTAAATTTTAACATTTCAAATCATTTATTATATGAATTTTAAGACTTATCTATTATTGAAATACTTATTATTATTGAAATAAGATCGGTGTAAAATTGTCGCGGTAATATGTTTTAGAACAGAATAGATATTCAAAGAGCTCAGCATCTTTGATCTAGGTCACAATTTTTAATATTTTTTTGTACTGTGACCTAACTAAAGACAAAAATAATGAATCAAGGGGTTAGGTATCATATCTATTCACTGTACAGTAGGACAGTCAGGGCACGATCCGGAAAACGTGTTCAGCATAAGGCTAAATTTGATCAATTCAATAAGGGCATCGACGACTTTTTCTACCACCAGGGCGGCGCCACTAGAAAGTGAGGTATAATATTTGACAGATTTCATAGCGGGGAAGTTAGTTTGTTAGGAAAATGTAAAAGTTATTGTTTTTTTCTGTATTATTAGCTATATTTTATATTAATAACATTAAAAATAAATAAACCAAACGAGACAGATGTTCATAAAAATAGAAAAATGAAAAAAAGAGTCTAAAATGTGCAAAAAATTAAAGAGCAAACCACTGAAGCATTGTTTTGTGTATTAATATGATACTCTAGAAATTGATAAATTTTTATTAAAAAACAACTCAATTAAATTACATTGTGTAACAAAAAACTTTACCTCAGTGTCAACTAGCGACATCTGGTGAACAGAAAATTATTAGCCCTCATTAATACTTGATAATTAAAAAAAATGTGAACCAAGAACATGCCCTATATGTATGGCCATAACAAATTTGCCATTACTGTGCGCATTTTTGTAACATAAAATCTATCGGCATTTGCTTATTTCGTTTAAGAAAAGATGATCTAGTTGAATGGTTTTTAATAAATCTTCTTTTTGAATTTCAGATTCAAATTGGAAAATGTACCAGAGCCAACCGTCAGTCCAGGGTCAAATAGTTCTTCCGATCAGAATGAAGGTCAAAGCTCAATTATAAGTGCACCACCTTCTCTTCCATCATCCCTAGCTCCGTTATCACCTATTGTGCCATCATCACCGGTGATTCCTTTATCACCAATATCATCACCCGTGCCTTCAATGATGAATACTGTACATTTGTCTCCATTGGTGGCTCGGCCGCCTTTACCTCCGAGGCCACAAACGTCAGAAAGTGCGAGGGACAACAAGAACGTCCCTAGTTCTGAGAAAGATTCTTTAGGTATGTTCTATATTTTATTTGTTTTATTTCGATAAAATTACATTTGATTATGTCTATAGTTGTAGACGGCTCGACGGAGTTGCGGTGCTGAGGGCCGTGAGTTTGAATACCGCACGGTACAAGTATTTGTATGGCTTGCAAATAATTGTTCTGGGTCTGGATTTGGTTGTCCTTGTGCAATTTATGTATGTAATGTTTTCCTTGTACGAGGGTGACACTGAAAGCTATTAGAAAATTAAAAACTGATAGTGTCCATTTACATCAATACATCGCTGCATCTGATGGAACCACTGAGATAAGCATTTTGCCCACTCGTCCTTTAGGGGTCTCTTCGACGGCATTTTGAAACGCAGCCACTGCTTTTTCGGCGTCCATAAAACGTTTTCCTCGAAGATTTCTTTTATTTTCGGAAATAAATAATAATCGCAAGGTGCGAGGTCGGGGCTATAGGGCGGGTGACCCAGTATTCCACGTTTAATGTCGCTAAGTAGTCGATTGTTTCCTTGGCGGCGTGCGACGAGACGTTATCGTGGTGAAGGAGGATCCTACTGCGAGGTCGTTTCTCCCGAACTTTTTCCAAGACAAGTGGCAAACAATTTTTAGTGTACCACTCTGCAGTAACTGTTTTTCGATCCTATGAAACAATTGTTGCGTAATGACCTGCCCTTCCGAAGAACGAGGCCACAATCTTTTTTCCCACGCTTCGACCTCTTCACTTTAGTTGGCAACTCATCGGAAGCAAACATCCAGACAGTAGACTGTCTCTTAGTTTCAGCATCATAACAATAAATCCAGCTTTCGTCGTATCCACCAGGCACAAAGCTTTCTGACCGCTAAATCTTCATGGAGGATTTTGTGCACTCGACTCATACCGATGCCTAAGCTTGTCCGAATCTGCTGATATGTCACTTTTTTGTCAGTCTCTATCATACGCCGCACAAAACTGATGTTATCTTCAGTCGTCGCCATAGAAGGCCGTCCCTCACGCAGATCATCAGTGAGATTAGTGCGACGGTGAGAGTGTGTTTAAATTCATTAAACCAGTTGTAAATAGTAGCACGAGATGGGGCTATATCGTGAAAGGCCAATCGTAAGGTCTATCATAACTTTCTTGTTGACTTAAATGACATCGAAAGTCATAAAAAATCATTGTACGAAAATTTTCTCGCGTTAAATTCACGCTGACGTGACACAGACAATTTTCAATTTGCCACCAAATCGTAAACAAATGACAAAGTAATAAACTAGGTACACAATAATATTGGCAAAGAGTTCCATTTTCAAAGTTTGAACTTATTTTTTTATTATATCGGTTACAAGTGGCCAGTTCTAAAAACGTTCAGTGCCCCCCTCGTAAAGAAAACTGTAACTAGAAATATTATTAGAGATAAATATTATAATTATCTTTTATATATACCTAATATAATAATCTTTGTCTAAAACATGGTAATTTTTTGGAGATAAAATAATTGAAAATTTATTAAAGCTTAGAATAAGATATTTTTCCGACTATGGGAAATCTTTATAAATAAAATAATAGAGGTTTGCAGTTGTGCGCACAAAACGGAAAAACTACTGGATAGATTTCAATTAGGTGTTCTAAGTTTTATTTCTTAGACACTTGGCCATTATCAAAAAAAAAAATGCAATATCTTCATTTAATATTTTTATAAGCACACACGTAGGTTCAGTGATGTGTGTTTTCTTTGTTAATATATCAAGCAACGCGGACGAAGTCACTGATATCAGCTAGTCTCAAAATAATTTTATGGATTTCGATAGTCGGTATACCATCTCATTTACATCAGATCTAAAATACCCAAACTGGTGACGTGGAGAATCGTGAAAGGAGTGAAATGCCTGCCAGTGTGGCAATTAAGGCAAATCCTCCACACTACTGGAGAAGCCCATAGTGTGCCCCAGCAGTGGATTTGCACAAGTCAATGAAGAAGAAGGAGATTTAGATTAACAGGCAACTTATTACTTGAGTGTAAGACGGTATTACTCATGTCTTATGTGTTCTCAGGATACTGTTTTGTAAATTGAATAAATAGAAATTACGTGGTAGAAACTTCTATTATATTATATTGTTCTATTATATTTGTACGATTTTATTAAGGACTAGCTGTTCCCCGCGACTTCGACCGCGTGGAATTTATTACTATTGGATTTCATGGGTTTTAATTATTAATATTAATAATTCATTTTCTAATATAGAAGTAGCCATTCATTTTCAAAAATAGAAGTACACCTTATAACATCAGCTAGTGAATGTCCCGTCGAAATCGGTGCAGCCGTTTCGGAGATTAGCCGGAACGAACAGAAAAAGACAAATTTTTTAAAAATTGATTTTTTGTTATTAGTACCGCATATGCATTTAGTAAAAAGCTGTTATTTTGACATTACAAACAGACACTTCAATTTTATTTATTTGTATTGATAGCGTCCCTTACCTGGGTATCTACTAATGTAGCATTACTTAGCTGTAAGATAACTAAAATCAAAATCAAAGACCATTTATTTTATCAATCTTTCGATTTCTCAAGAGAATCTCTTAAGTTTTTCGTGTATAACATAGCCCAAATCACTCCTGGCATAGCGATAATGAGAGCGATATGAGTCCGAACAGACAGACAAAACATTTGAAAATAGTCGTTCTTGTCTTAATGGCATGCAAATAACAGTTCAATAAAAGGCAGTTATGTCGATATTACAGACAGACTATTCAATTTTATTTATATGTATACATAAAAGTAAACAGTTAAAAATAAATATTTAAGATGGTGAAACTCGCGAGAAATCACCAAGGAGGCGACTCTTGAGACCGCCTGCGTCCGACTATATAAAACCGGATCTATTCCAAAAGAATTTTCAGAAGATTTCCGATCTGGTTCGGCGAGGCGAAGTAGATTCTACTCCAGTAAGTTTAGAGGAATCGGGCTCAGATAAAGAAAGTAGACCAAGGTAAGTTTCATTTCAAATACAAAATAAATAAACAGAACAATGTTTTATTTTAGTGTTTGACATCCAAAACCGTGAAATTTGAAATTTTGACATATTTATACTCGATTAAGAAGCCTTCAGTTATACTCGATTAAGGAACAAAATGCAGATGCGTTGTCACCTCTGAGGAATAAGATGAAATTTCCTGTGTAAAAAGGGTGATGTTATTTTACGCTGCTATACTATGAGAGCGTGATGTTTCCCCCGGTTGAGCTGACTCATTCAACATTAACAAATAATTTTATGGAATGCGTATTATATTGTCATTGTTTTTATTTTACCGTGTAGTGGCGGAGTAAAAATATCCACTACCCAATATCAGCCCATGGGTGTCGTAAGAGGCGACAGAGAGAAAGAAATCAGGAGATAGGCAGCAGCGTCTTCCTGATAATGCATAAAAATGAAAAGCTGCGTGTGCCATGCCCCCTATGAGGCAACCTATGGGGGAGGCCTATGTTCAGCAGTGGACTTTTATAGGCTGCAACGGTAACTGGTTTTATTTTATTAAATTTAAAAAAAAGGATGACAAGCGAGCACACAGTTTACTTGATGGTAAGTGAATCTTTTGGCCTTTAGCACCACATATAAATATTCCCGTCAACCACTCTTGGTTAGAGAGCTTAAAACACTTTTGTTACGTACAAAGTTTGTACTATTATGAAACATTAGGCCACAGTCACTTATTATATATTATAGCAAATGTTGTTCTGGATTCCAGACAACAATATTATGTTTTTGTTTTTACCTCAAGTAAGGTTTCATATGATTATAAAGACTTACTCAAAACCTCAGTATGCAGATCTCGTTCTAAGTTTTTATGCACGTTAAAATCTATTTGAGTACAATCATATCAACTTGATGTAAAACTGGACTCTGTGCTTATAAGACATTTCATCTATTCTCGATTAAGAATGAAAATGCAGAACTCACTGTTGTCACCCTTGAGGACTGTGATAAAATGCCACAATGATAAGGAACAATTAGTTCTAAGCCATAAAATTATTCGTTCCGCGCATGCATCACTTCCGCGGTGTCTCATTCAAATTTCTAGGCTAGCTTAGGCATGTATGTAATGAAACAATAAGCTTATGTACGCCATTTAATTAAAAAAAAAAACTATAATTGTTTATTAAAATAGTTGTATGGAAACAGTGTTGTAACATTACTTGCTTACTTGGATTACACTTAAATTGCAATTTTTTTTTGCTAGGTCGCCAATGGTACCTCAGAAGAATAAAATTTCAATAAACCTAATGGAGAGCATTGAATCGGAAACTTCAATCGATTCTCCAGATAGAGAGTTTGCGAATATCGATTTAAACGATCTCGATGAATCGAACGAAAGTCATAACATTCAAAACGAGGCACAAATAGAAAATAATATTGAAGCAAAAAACAATGATAAAGAAGTAGTAAGTGCTAAAGAAAAGGAGGAAACCTCTGAAACACATTCCAAAGCGTCAGAGCCCATTCAGAATATGCCACAATGTCTTGCAAACATTCCCATACCTCAAATTAAAGTTCCTAAATTAGATTTTCTGTCAAAACAACAGAAATTCGCACATTCCGATTCAGAAGAATCTAGAAAGTCCTCTAATAGAGAAGAAGATATTAAAATTACTCCTAGATCGAATAGTATAGACATTCCTAAAGATGACAAAAATCAAATAAAGCTATCTCCAACACCCAGTTTAGGTTCTGATAGGTCGCCGAGGTTAGATTTCGGCAAGACGTGGTCTAGTCCCTTTTCGACATTCAAGCCACTAAATAAAGCGGTGATCTCACCTCAAATTAAATCATCAGATTCGTCGACAAGCTTAGGAAAAGGCGTAACTAGTCCAAGACTAGATGGCGTTATAATATCACAGAGTAAATCAAGTTCCGATAACGTAGTCGTGGTTTACCAGTTTGAAACTCAAGAGGACAATTTATCAAAGCCTATTAAGTCCCCTCTTATACCTGATATGGGCACACGGGATTTTATGGAGAGAAACAAAAATGATGAGCGACGAAGATTGGAGTTGTCCTTGCAGAAGGAGTTAGAGTTAATAAGAATGGAGTGGTCTGCTAAAGAGAAGAAAATGAAAGCAGAGTTGCAAGAAGAGTTAAGAGAGGCAGAGCAAAAGTTTTTGACTGAGAAGAGAGTAAGACTTGATGAACAGGCCGAGAGGCATAAAAAAGAAATGGAAGACGTAAGCATTTATATTTATATTACTGTATAAAACAACTTAGGGTATAATCAAATGCGTGTGGTGACGGCGTGACGGAAGCCTTCCCAATTCACCCATTGAACCCATTTCGTTTCGTGGGTGTTGTAAGAGGCGACTATGGAATAAACCAAAAAGATGTAGCAATTTTTTTTGAGAATAAGAGTGACAAACAAGCGCACAGTCTACCTGATGGCCTGCAAAAATCCACATCTATCCTCGATCAAGATTTAAAACACAAATGCGTTGTCACCTCAGGACTAACTGGTTTCAAGTTAAAAATAAATTTTTTTATAGGATAGGGTGACAAACGAGCACACAGTCCACCTGTTGGTAAGTGGTTGCTGCGGCCCATAGACATCTACATCTATCCTCTATTACAAATCAAAATGCAGATGCGGTGTCACCCGTGAAGACTAAGATGGAATGCCTCATTTCAAGTAAAAAGGGTCTCCGGTTCTCTACACTCACCATACGAAACACAGCAGCGTCAAGCTGCTATTTTACGCTGGTATTCTGTGAGAGCGTGGTGCTTCCCCGGTCGAGCCGACCCCTTCGTGCTACAACTATACCAGTAGTATAGCTGCAGCATGGCTCTACCACGTAAGAATATACACGCTGGACTTGCATTACTAAATTCCTCTCTCCCTTTCACCGTCGGACAACCATGCACTCAACGATTCACCATGCATTCGAACCAAACGATTTACTTCGTAGTTCTTGCATACAGCAAAATAATTAGCCGGCATCTGTCTTTCCATAGATTACAACGTGGTGTATTCAAGGCAAGAACGATAGGCTTTTTTATCATTATCATCTTCGGCTGCATCACCACTTACTGCTAGATCAGATGTGCTAGTGCTTGACTAACCTATCTAGGTTGGAAACTTGATTAGAATGGTTAAAGGGTAAAAGATGTATATTAAAATTATTATTGATTAATTAATAATTATTAATTCAACTCGTTATTGTTTTTCAAGGCACTGTCAGCAGCCGAACATAATCATGAGCAAATGTTGCAAAATGCGTTGAAGGAAATTGAAAAGCGATATCAGATTGATGTCGAAGCCGCAGAGAAACAGCACGCCGACAGCATGGCGCGGTTAAGGGAAGATTATCGCGTTAAATTGACAGAGGAACGAGAGCAGTTGGAAATAGGTAAGTCGACATTAAAATGATCAAGTATGAATTTCATTATAGTTTAAAAATTCCACCGCTGAACATAGGCCTCCCCCATAGATTGCCCCATAGGCTCGGTGGGATATATTCCATACTTTTCCAGACTTTGTTATTAGTCTGAGGGAAGATGCTACTCTTCATCTTCTGGTCTTTCTGTCGCCTCTTACGCCGCCTCTACACGGCATCATAAAAATTACTATACGGCAAGTACAGATTAAAAAAAAAAGGAAAATTAATTGTAATTGATATATCGTGACAGGATGTAATGATGATGAGAAATTAATTCTTTAATATTGATGTGTGTCGTGTGATAAAGTTGTGAATCCGGCAAAGAACTTGTCTTCTCGAACAAGGAAAAAATTCCATGGATCTTCTGTTTTTTAATTCAGCTTTACGCTGTTACTTTACTCTCCTGACAGAGTAGTCTAGTAACACTCTTATAACGGCATACTTTTGCCACGAAAAAATGAGTTACCGCAGAAAATGAACCAGACGACCTTTCTGTTTACACGCGATTGGAACCGACGATAGAAGACAGTATTCTTAAACAAAAATTACTCAATTGAAGAAATTTTTTATTTTGATGATGATTATTATTTTCAGAAAACGAGCGAGCCTTGACAGAACTCCGGGAGCAGTTACAAATAAGTCTAAACACAGAGAGAACGCAAATGATAGAAGAGAACAGAGCTACAATAGAGGCTTTACGGGAAGAACACACCAACAGGGTTACGGACTTAAGGCATGACTACAGAGCTGAGGTAAATTGTGTTATTGTAATTAAAGTTTCGATTTCCAACATATTTTCACATTATGAGTTGCAAAAGAATTACTGTTGTTTATGCTCATCTATACAAATAAATAAAATTGAAGTGTCTGTTTGTAATGTCAATATTACAACGTTTTACTAAATGCATATGAAAGTGTAAACGGTACTGATAACAAAAATACACTTTTAAAAAATTTGTATGAACTGACTTGCTAGTTGTTATAATTGCGCTAAAAATATGCGTTTGCGGTCGTAGTAAGCTGACTCACCGGTCGCAACGGCCAGTTCCAGCGATCGCCCGACATGTTGCGATGTTTTGTTGTGTTGATTTGGACGACTCTACAGTTATTAACCCTCTTGCCAAGTGTAGCAACTATGGCAAATACCCTCCCTATGAGGCAATTTATATGAGAAGTCTGTATTCAGGAGTGGACTTTTTATAAGATGTAAAATGAATGAATTTGCCGTGTAGTGATGGTGTAAGAATATTCACTACATATCATTCCGTAGGTGTCGTTAGAAGCGACAGAGCGATACTGAAACAGGAGATGGGCAGCAGCATCTTACTAATAACAAGTGAAAATAATAAAAACTGCGATAGCCAACCCGCCTTCCAAGCGTGGCACCTATGACAAAATCCCCTAAATCTATGGAGGAAGTTTATGTTCGACAGTAGACTTTTGATAAGTGAAATGAATGAATGAATTAATAAGTTGCTGTGTACCTGTCTGAACGGTATAGAGAGCTAGTATAATTGAAGGCTTTGAGGCATTCCATTCTAGTCCTCAAGGGTGATAACGCATCTGTAGCCTTTTTTATATAAAGTTGGCTTCAGGTGTCGATATTCGTAGTCGTATTAAAGCCAGTTGGACTGTTCGTGAAGTGAAGTTCGTTTATCACTTCAGTTTTATAATGAACAATTCTAAATACATCTTTTGTATACCAGTTCTGTTTATTTCATATGGTACTTGATTTTATTAACGTATCTCAAAAAAGCACAATGTTTTGCGTCCATACAATGTTCGCTTAAGAACCAACAGTGAAAAAAAATACCTTTTTAAGTCCGAAATTACACATAATTGTATGTAAAAACAATAACTCCTGACGGACACTTCTGAAAACTTAGATATTTGCAGTTATCATAGAGATTTTGAGGCTATGTTTTATGTTTATGAAACATCGTATCCGTTGTTCAAGCCGTTGTTCGTAATTTATATAAACTTATCGTATAACAAAGCAACTACAGAGTGCACTTAGATTTCTAAAACATTTACAGAAATGTATTTTTTCAAACGAAACCACAAACTATATAGAAACATTACGCGAACGAAACCAAAACAATAGCACGTCTGACGTCTATCTATTTTGACTTGTTGTCATCTGTCAACGTTTTTGAATTTTTTTTTGCGTGGTACAATGCTGATTTGCCAATAACATGACAAAAGTATTGTTATTTTAAATGAAAATAGATGATTTCACTGTACCCTAGTTCCTTGTGGCATATATTAATCTGAGATATATTTTAAAATATCACCGTTTTCATGATATATTTGAGTTTATGACAACTTTTGAAATATGTGAGTGAAGGTATTGTGCGATTGGCCAAATCACAGGAGGCCATACACTAAGCACAATAGTATTAAAAAATAGGTACAAAGTTCAAAATCGAAAGTCCTTTTTATTTTGATTTCACAAGTCAGAATTGTCCGTTACTATCTAATGAATATTATCTAATGCATAATTAAGGATAAGAATTTTGGTAATAGTCAAATATATGTTGGTTCTTAGGCGAGTTTAAACATTGTCCTTTGCTAAATGTATTGTAAATGTAATTGCAGGTGGAACATCTACGGCGGCAACACGCTTGCCATGTAGAAGAGCTACGCGCCCGTCTGGCCGGCGAGCGGGCCGCCGCCGCTCGGGGCTCCACGCACGAGCGCGCGCTCGCGGACAAGTACCGCTGCCTCAAGGAGAAGTACGCGCGCCTCAAGCACGACGTCAAGGTGACACGCTCGCACACACTCACTGCTCGGTGCACACACGAGCGCGCGCTCGCGGACATGTACCGCTGCCTCAAGGAGAAGTACGCGCGCCTCAAGCACGACGTCAAGGTGACACGCTCGCACACACTCACTGCTCGGTGCACACACGAGCGCGCGCTCGCGGACATGTACCGCTGCCTCAAGGAGAAGTACGCGCGCCTCAAGCACGACGTCAAGGTGACACGCTCGCACACACTCACTGCTCGGTGCACACACGAGCGCGCGCTCGCGGACATGTACCGCTGCCTCAAGGAGAAGTACGCGCGCCTCAAGCACGACGTCAAGGTGACACGCTCGCACACACTCACTGCTCGGTGCACACACGAGCGCGCGCTCGCGGACATGTACCGCTGCCTCAAGGAGAAGTACGCGCGCCTCAAGCACGACGTCAAGGTGACACGCTCGCACACACTCACTGCTCGGTGCACACACGAGCGCGCGCTCGCGGACATGTACCGCTGCCTCAAGGAGAAGTACGCGCGCCTCAAGCACGACGTCAAGGTGACACGCTCGCACACACTCACTGCTCGGTGCACACACGAGCGCGCGCTCGCGGACATGTACCGCTGCCTCAAGGAGAAGTACGCGCGCCTCAAGCACGACGTCAAGGTGACACGCTCGCACACACTCACTGCTCGGTGCACACACGAGCGCGCGCTCGCGGACATGTACCGCTGCCTCAAGGAGAAGTACGCGCGCCTCAAGCACGACGTCAAGGTGACACGCTCGCACACACTCACTGCTCGGTGCACACACGAGCGCGCGCTCGCGGACATGTACCGCTGCCTCAAGGAGAAGTACGCGCGCCTCAAGCACGACGTCAAGGTGACACGCTCGCACACACTCACTGCTCGGTGCACACACGAGCGCGCGCTCGCGGACATGTACCGCTGCCTCAAGGAGAAGTACGCGCGCCTCAAGCACGACGTCAAGGTGACACGCTCGCACACACTCACTGCTCGGTGCACACACGAGCGCGCGCTCGCGGACATGTACCGCTGCCTCAAGGAGAAGTACGCGCGCCTCAAGCACGACGTCAAGGTGACACGCTCGCACACACTCACTGCTCGGTGCACACACGAGCGCGCGCTCGCGGACATGTACCGCTGCCTCAAGGAGAAGTACGCGCGCCTCAAGCACGACGTCAAGGTGACACGCTCGCACACACTCACTGCTCGGTGCACACACGAGCGCGCGCTCGCGGACATGTACCGCTGCCTCAAGGAGAAGTACGCGCGCCTCAAGCACGACGTCAAGGTGACACGCTCGCACACACTCACTGCTCGGTGCACACACGAGCGCGCGCTCGCGGACATGTACCGCTGCCTCAAGATCAATAAATCTACGAGTATTTATAGTTCACCTCTTATACTTTTTTATTTTTTGCAGTTCACGTTCATTTTAGTTTTTGTTTCGTTCACAGATGTCAATTGAGCGACGCAATAAAAGGCGAGAAATGAGCATGACCACTGGTTCGGAAACAGAAAAATCGAATTCGCACAAAGCTACACAATCTCTTGAAAAGTAAGCTAGTGCTTTATTTATATTTATTTATTTGTCAATTAAATTATTTTTTCGTATTTTAAAGTGTTTATTTTAACTTATTTTAAAATCCCAACGTTTCAAGTATTTGGCCCCAATAGTCACGGACTGTTTAGCGCTCTTATATAATGGTTAACCTGGGCGACTTTCAGCTTTTAATTATTAATTTTTGGTTCGATGTAGTAGAAGCGAGGTTTGAGCTCATCACAATAACTTGAAATTATACAGTAGAATGCTTCTATAGTGTATATCTGCTTCACACCCATTGTTGGAAAGAGACAGGCACCTGAAACGTACAGGGCACAGAAACTTAACCATAAAACACACTTGAGGGGCGAACGACACTATGCGTTCATTATAATGAACGAACAGTAAAAGTAGCTCTCTAGCTACTTTACACTAGGTATAGTGCGACAAACAAATATCAATACAAATATCAATCTGGTATCGGGTATAGGTTATGTATCTTTCATTGATTGCCACAGTGACATGAATTTAATTATTTTTGTAATTTCTAATTTGTTTTGTTTGTCAGATTGGACAAAATATCGTATTTTAGGCAAGATTTTGACGCGGAAAATTTGATGTTCTTGAAATAGTAAAAAAATATGCGACATGAAAATACATCTAAATTCTTAATTGAAGAGATTTTTAAAACTGTTATTGTTACAGCTATGAAAGTGCACTGCTGAACATAGGCCTCCGCCATAGATTGCCTCATAGGGGGAATATTTGCCATAGTTCACGCTTGGCTAGCGGGGGGCACCGCAGTTTTTAGTTTTAGTCGTTATTAGGAAGGCGCTGCTGCCTATCTCCTGATTTGTTTCTCTCCGTCGCCTCTTACGACATCCACGGGTTGATACGGGGTAGCGGATATTCTTACACCACCACGACACCGTTTTTAATACACTTTATATTCATCTTTATGTTCGATTTCTTGTTGTTATAAACGATAACTATATAATATAAATTATTAATTGACTACTTTTTTGTATAGATCTTTTATTTCTTGATAATAAGCAAAAACGTGTCAAATAAAGTAACTTTTTATCCACCCAATGTCGCTCCACTCTTGTGACATCGTATCAGAATGTTAACCGATCAATCACAGCCCCCCCCCCCCCCCCATTAAATACTATGAGTACGCACAACATGGAGTCCTTTGAGTATTGTTCTTGAATTAATTGTCTTGCTGTACGTCTTATTATTATAATGTTGCTCCTATATTTTTGAAAGTAATATTTGTAAATACGGACATAATTATTGGAAGACTACATTTCAGAAAAGGACCTGCATAAATTAGTCTATTTATATCTATTTATTTTAACTTTTTATCTCAAATACTTGGACATTTACGCGATACACACATACGCGCACGCGCACGCACTTGCTTTTGCACACGCGCAGGCACACGCACAAGCGTGCGTGTGCACGTAAGCACGCACACGTATTCACAGACGCACAGACTGACACACACACACACCGACACATACACACCGACACACACACACCGACACACTCCGACACACACCAACACACACACCCACACACAAACCGACACACACACACACAGACACACACCGACACACACGCACATACACACACACACGCACGTACGCACGCACAACGCACGTTCTGTGCGATGAAGAAAAACAGTGATTAAGCCACAAGATCTCAAAAAGAAATAAAAATATGTCATTAGGGCAGTGTGTTGGTTGGAAGGAAGACTGAATGCCCAACACAGAGATCTATCTATACATACTATTTTAGTTTTCAAAACACCGTTTCATTGCCTTTCTATCAAATTAATTATTAACGTAATATTATTATGTAAAATAACAGTGAACGAGGAGTATACTTTATTCAAAACTTTTATCTTACGCCATTAAGGCAGAGGAATTCGTCATCTTTAAAGATTTTGTAGTGCTTAGTTTTTCGTAACTAGTTGGTGTTGCAAAGCGTTGAAAACGTTGAGAAAACAAAACATTCTAAAATCCATAATAAATTGTTTTGTATAATACAAAACAACATAAGCTTACTAAAATAAATTTCAGATGCAAGGAAGTGAACGAGACATCGGTGAGCGCGGTGATTGAAACCGAGCCGTTACGTGTTAAAGCCAACAATAACCCGACCATCAAGTACAATGACAATGAGACGTCCATTTCGGAAAGCAATGCCCACAAATCCGAGAACAATAACGACGAGTGGAAGGCGAAGAGTAGTGTAAGTATTTCTTTATGTATAGTCTTTGTCAATATGTTCTTGTTTAGGTAGGTAGGGAAGAGATACAGGGTCGTGGCGTACAGTAATGACACAACACCAACTTAGCCCAAAATAAAGCCATATGTGTAATAAATACTAATAGTGAGTCAACTCGGCGACTAGACGGAGCAACGATGGGGCGCGGTATGAAGGAGAACGGAGTCCCCCCCCCCCCACCCCCCTGACGTCTGCAGTAGTACCAGTCGGCTTAATTTGCGTATCGGTACGCCCGTTTAGGCGTGTCACGTACACGGAATCAGTGGCACGCGTTTGGTGTTCACCCAACAACACGATATTACTCCGTATTATTTTGAAATATTGAGAAAGATTGTATGACGCCTTAAGTAAAATTGAATTCTAATAACCATGTGATTGTTTTCCATCACGATTTTTAATTGTATAAGGATGAGAATTCCTTATATCATTCAATTTAACAAAAGACCCAATAATAAATGTCGTAAATATTTGCCGGTTGCACATCTGTATTGAGGCGATTGAATAAATAGAACCAACGTATATTTTAAACCGTTTTATTTATTCTGTGCAATCCCCTATTCAATATTTTAAGCGGAATATCTGACATATTGCAATATAGGTAACGTAGTAAAATTAGGTAAGTGCATACCAGCACAAGCCTCTGTTTCCATCACGACGTATCAGCTGAAACTGCGGAAGCCAACTGGTTTTGTAAAGTAGTAATTAGTTTGTATCTTTGTATAAAAATGAGATATTATTACGAGGAATACAGATAAAATATAATGTTATAATATTATTATCTACGGAAATATTTTTGTGACAACTCTTGCATATTTTGAGCGACTAGATATCGAGACAGCCTTGTAGGTATTTTGCGGTATAACAAAGGAGTTGACCCACTATTAGTATTTATTACATATTTATTATATAGGGTACAGCGCGCGCGCATCGCTGTGTTAACATCATATAACGTTAGCTCCGGTTTAAAAAATAATTATTGTTGTTAAAGTTTATATTTAAACTTAAATTTTATGCATGTGAAATTGTAAAAGTGAAACTGTGGACATTATATTGAAATAAAGTGATTTTTAAAGACAAACATTACAAAGTGAGACAAGAAATTTATTTTGCAAAACAGTGGACTTTGATACCAAAACCACGGGCGCGTTGTGAATGAAACGTATGCTTTTACTTTATACCCACTTGTGTGACTTGCATAAAGTTACTTTGTTTATTTGTTGAGATCTCTTGATAAGATCTAAATATGAAATGCTTAGCTTGTCCGAATTCTATTGAGCGGGGAGAATTATTAGGATGTGTCACGTGTAAAGGAACTTATCATTACAGATGTTTGAATATTACAACGGCAAAATTTATGGGCAATTTCCAACAACTCAAGAGAACATGGAAGTGCCCTACTTGTACAAATGTCACTAAAAGACGACACAGAAATGATGACACACCATTAAAAATAAATTCTGAAGAATCTTCTCCCCCAGATTTAGTCGACACGTCCGGTGGTGATAGTATTTCGCAGACAGAGGATAGTAACGAACAGTTGTCCCCGAACATGGAGCTTCCTGGAGTGCCAAAGGTGAATACTTTTTCATTTTCCCTAGAAGAAATTGGTAAATTGCTGGATCATAAACTAGATTCGAAACTCAAAAGTGCACATGTTTGTCTAGCCACAGAAATCAAGCAAGAGTTTCGTGACGTTTTAAAGAATTTAGAAAGTGATTTCAAACAAATTACTGAATCCATAACACAAGAAGTATGTAGCTTAAAGCAAGAGGTCAGTACCCTTAGTGAAAAAGTCCAGGCACTCGAGAATGAAAACATATGTATTCGCAAAGAAATTGAATCGTCTCGTCAAACTGCTCAATCAAATACACACTTGGAGAGTATTGTTGCAGAGTTACAGCAGCAAATAACCTACAAAGACCAGGAAGCCCTGCTAAATGATGTCGAAATAGTCGGAATACCAGAATTTTCAGGTGAAACACCAATGCATATAGTGTTGACCGTTGCCTCTAAACTAGGAGTATCTCTAACGGAACAAGATATAGTTTACGCTGAACGCGTCGGTCGCCGTTTAAATTGGCCGGCTAAAGATATGCGAACAGGTAACCAAAACAGCTCATCAGTTTCTGTTAGTGCGCGCCCCTTGGTTGTAAGATTAACGCGTCGTGCGTTACGCGACCACTTAATAAAGAATGCTCGAGTGCGCCGTACGCTTACTACGGTAGACCTAGGATTGTTACCTCACGAATCAAGTACGTTTTATGTTAATGAACGATTAACCAAAACAAACCGTATTTTATTTGCTAAAACACGTGAAATGGCTCGAAATTTAAATTGGAAATTTGTATGGACAAAGGGGGGTCGTGTTTATGTTAAGCGTGAAGACTCTCCTAATATTTATGCGCGCATAGTAAACTCTGAAATGGATATTGAACGTGTTTTTGGTGTACCCTGTTCAAAAACTTCTAAATAATGTTAAATGTATTTTGGGGCTCCTTACTATTTTAATTTTGTTCATTTTGTTTTATAATATTATACTTTTGATTATACCTTACACTTTCATATACCTTAAATGTTATTCCATACTTTTTAATTACTATGTTTTATACCACCTTTTATTATATCTTTATTTTGCAGTAGTTTACAGTAGCGGTAGTGTATTTGTAGTGGTACATAATTTAACTTTAAGTGCTAACAAAGGTTCTGTCCTGCAGTATCTATATTATTGCGTAAACATTTTTATGATTTTGGTAAATTCTATGGAATTGTTTACCGTAATTTTAGCTTACTTAATTAGTTCTACTTACTTTGTTTTGTTAGCTGGTACAAGTATAAAAATTTGTTGTTATTATTTTGAATATTTTTTAAATAATTATTTTTACCTTTTTTTATTACTATTTTTGTACGAATATTTTGTAAATTTCTTTGCTTTTTTTGTTGATATTTTGAAAATGACTTTATTTTTAATGTGCATACCGATGCTAGCCTGTTCAAGTTATAATATAATATGTTCCTATAAATATTCCTTACTTATTTGTGATCAACATATAGACGATTATATATATGAAATGATTATACTTACAAAAATATTATTACAACATGGCTACTACTAAAAGTAAAAGTTTAAGAGTTGGCCTTTATAATGCTGGGTCGATCAGAAGCAAAAGCGATGAGTTTCAGGCAGCTCTGCTATGTGAATCTGCTGATATTATGGCGATAAACGAAACGTGGCTACGAGCTGGTGAAGATGCGAGTGCTCCGTTAGTTCCTGGCTATCGCTTCAGTCATATTCCCCGTTCTTGTAACCTATCTAGGGCACGTGGTGGTGGTGTTGGTTTTTACGTCAAACGAGGGATTAATGCTCGTTCTTATTCCCATAACATTATATTTGAGGAGGTGGAGCAGCAGTGGCTGTCGCTATCCATTAACAAAGTTAAGCTTTTAATTGGAACGGCATATCGATCGACCACAATGGGTAAATGTCGAAAAGTTCTTTGATTCTCTTACAGACATTTTAACTTCATATTCAAATTTTGATAATATAATTTTGTTAGGAGATTTCAATATAAATATTTTGGATGAAAGTGACAACAAAACACAACAGCTTAATCAATTTTTGCAGTATACTAGGTTGAAAAACTGTATTTTTCAACCTACCCATTTTACGCAAGAGAGTGCTACATTAATTGATTTAGTAATGACGGACGCTAGTGTGACAAATACTCGTGTAAAATATACTCCTGAACTTGGTGGTCATGCTATCATTTTAGTCGATTTTAAAATTAAAAAGCCTAAGGTAGCTATAAGGCAGCAAATTATAAGACCTATAAAAAATATCAATCTATCAGATTTTGAGTCGGAAGTTGAATCCATAAACTGGGATAGCATTACGAGGTATAATTATGTGAACGATATGGTTTCTGTTTTTTCCAAACGCATTTTAGAGCTGTTTGATAAACATGCTCCAGAGAAACTAATAACTATCCGTAAGAAACAACTGCCATGGTTTACGAGTAATGTTAAGTACATTATGCAGCTCCGAGATGACGCTCACAATAAATATCGTCGCACAAAAACTGAAAAAGATAAAATTCAATACAAAACCCTAAAAAGTCTAGTAAACAGCAGTCTTTATGCTGAGAAGAAGGCATATTTTGATTACCACATTAATCAACATCTACATAATACAAATGTTCTATGGAAAAATTTGAAGTCATTCGCGTTACCGTCATTTAAAAATTCGAATGACTTACCAGAACACTTTAGTGATCCTGACGAAATTAATCGTCACTTTTTGAGTATACCGGGAACAAATAATATCGTCAAATCATTTAATGTAAGGAATCTGGAAAGCAGAAACTGTATCTCTAATACTTTTAGGTTAATACCAGTTCATGAAAATGTGGTTGCAAAAATCATAATGGGTATTAAGTCAAATGCTCAAGGTGTTGACCGCATTAATATGGATATGATAATTCTAACGCTTCCGAGAACTTTAAATGTTATCACTGCAATTATTAATAAATTCATAACAGAATCTGTTTTTCCTTCTTCTTGGAAAACTGCACTTATTCGTCCAATACCTAAAAAAAGTAACCCAACAAATGTAGGTGACCTAAGACCCATTAGTATACTGCCTTACTTATCAAAAATACTTGAGAAAGTTGTTTACTCACAATTAATAAATTTCTGTGAAAAAAATCAATTAATACCCAACCTACAATCAGGTTTTAGAAAAAATTACGGAACAGCAACAGCTCTTATTAATGTCGTGGATGATATATTATCTTTTTCGGATTCTGGAGAAGGTACTATTCTCACTTTATAAGATTTTTCAAGGGCCTTTGACTCAATTAACACAAACTTACTGATTTCTAAGCTTTCATATTATGGTTTTGATAATGAAACACTCAAGTGGTTTAAAAGTTATTTAACTGACCGATATCAACAAGTAATTTTAGACAGGCATAATGGTAAAAACTTTATTTCTAAGCTTCTTCCTGTTGATAGAGGCGTTCCTCAAGGATCTGTGTTAGGGCCTTTGCTTTTTATTATTTACAGTGCTGATATAATAAACTGTCTCAAAAACTGTAAATACCATCTATACGCTGATGATTTACAGGTATATATTCCCATAGATCGAAAAAATATTAACACATTAGTAAATAAGTTAAATCAGGATATTCAACGTGTTTGCGATTGGTCACAAAATAACTCCATGGTTCTCAATCCTTCAAAGTCAAAATTCCTTATAATTGGCACTAAAAAGCAGGTACATGATATAGCTATAACTGAACCTGATATACGTGTTAATGGAGAGACAATTGCACAAGTTCATGAAGCACGAAATTTAGGCATTCTTTTTGATAGCAATTTGAGGTTTGAAAATCATGTGATTAATTTGGTACAAAACTGCTTTTACAGGTTAAAAGTTTTATATAGATTTAGACCATTTATCACAGTTAATTTACGTGTAAAGCTTTGTGAAACCCTAGTTTTAGCTAAATTAAATTATTGTATAACTGTTTATGGACCTTGTTTGCTTAAAAAATCACAAAAATTAATCCAGAGGGTACAGAATGCTTGTGCTCGCTATTGTTTTTACATACCGAGACGAACTCATGTTACATCATATCTTAATACCTCGAATATGTTAAAAATGCAGGGGCGTCTCAAACTTTTTTATGCTTCTTTGCTATTCGGCATAATAAATACAAAGAATCCAGAATATTTATACAAAAAACTTAATTGGAGAAATGACCAACATGTATATAAAACCCGAATATGCTCAAAAGTTTTTTGCATCCCTAAACACAAAACATCGGCTTTCCGAGGGAGTTTTAAGTTTATGGCAACTAAGTGTTGGAATGATCTCCCACCACCACTACGCACTACGACAAGTAAATCGAGTTTTAAAAAGAAATATAGACGTCATTTACTAAGAGAACAAATACTGTCATAAGCAGCTTATTTTTACCTAATTGCAGGACCGCCCTGTAAATACTTAAAACAAATAATAAACATTGCTATGTAGTAGGTGGGGAAACAACTTATATGAGATTAAAGAAGTTAGGCTTGTTAATATCAATATTATTTTATAATTTATGTTACTTATTACTAGTTATATTGTTGTAATAATTATTTATTAAAAAAAATGGTAATAAAAATATATATATTTGATTATTAATTTGAACTGGCTAATAGTCGGGGATCCACGGTATGTACCCTAATGTGAATAGTTGTGATTAAAGGGATGCGCGCGTACTGTACTGTTCATATGTTGGGCGCTGGCAGAATAACAGCGTTGTAGGCAACTGCAACATTTATGCTGAGCTAGAGCCCATTCTTTACTACATTATGTAATTCTTGTTATTTCTGTATGTACTTTATTGGTGGTAATGAATAAATGCTTATTATTATTATTATTATTATTATTATTATTACACATATGGTAAGGCATTGAAATGTGACCTTTATATCGTGTCTATTAAAGGTCATTTTCTTTTACATGATAAGTTTTTACGTGGCGGAGCCACACTGTAGCTGTATTTTGCTACACTAATAGGTCGGCTTGAATAGAGAAGAACTACATTCTCAAATAATACTATCGTAAATAGCAGCATAATGCTATTTTATTTTATTTATTTTTACAAAGTATAGTTATTTAATAACATCCGAGAGTATAAATAAACTTACCAAAGCTTTTCCATGTACCGCCGATTCGTAACTTCGATGATGTTCAATCGGTTCGCGTTGCGACAACTTATTTAATGACGTATATAAATGGTGTGACAAAACAGCAAAATATTTTTTAACTAGGTGTGTACCAAAGCAAAGCATAGTTAGTTAGTAAGTTAAATAAAAATTAGTAATTGACATAATAATGATATGAATGTGACTTACGTTTGCGTCAGCTTAGATAGGGTTGAAGTGGCAGGAGCCGAAGACTTTTTCCTATATTACTTTTATTTTCTAACTTACAAGCTAATTTAAATACTGTGATAATGTGAGTTCACAGCTGCCTAACTTACAAACTAATTTAACTTCTACTGGGCCATATTAACAATTAAACCATCGGTTTATACTATGTTGAGTATTCTTAAGTCACGTAAGTAAATTGAGTCACGTCCTTGAAGACTTGCTGCTATTTGCTTAGCAGGCGGTCCCGTATGGTAGATGACTTCGTGATTGCATGCAAGGTCTCGGTAGGCATATGTAACTTGTGAATATCTGTGTATATATTTATTAGTAAATTTTTATTTGTGTATATTATGATGTGTGTTAGTAGATATAGTTTTATTTTTAGTATAAATTATTAGTAGTTGTCCTTAACAATTTGTCGATAAAATACTGTTTTCGCTTATATTTAATATATTTTTCAGTTATTTAATTTTTTATTGGTTTTGGAATTCGGTTCCAAAGAGCGGGAATTTGATATTATAATCGTAATTTTGCATACATATTTTTATATTT